CCTCTGATTGGTCGGTGGGTACTTGGACTGTCCATCCGGCCGGCGGCCGGACGATTACATTCTCTCGATAGGATGTGGGTCAGACCTAAGCCTATCTCCGTCGCAAGGTGGCGCTGCTTGCGAGTTAAAGCTACAAATCTGCAAATAACTCTAGGATATTCAAGAAATTATTTTTCGAAAACCTTTCCGGGGATATACCTAATAATATCCCAAAATTTCACGGCGATTGGATGTATGGTTTTTGAATCTATAGAGTACACACACAGACAGCCATTCATTTATATATATATATATAGTGTAAAAACTATATAATAAAAATATAACAGTGATACTACATTTAAAACTTAAGGAGCAAACTGATCAGAATGATAAATCATATCAAGTAGATTTGGTTAGATTAGCAAGCTAAATCTAAATTAATTATAAAAATAAATAGTTGTATAGTTTTATAGTTAAGTATTCTATTAAAATTATCTTCATTATTTTGATTATTTAAATTCAAATTATAAAATTTGTAAATTGTTATTATTTAGTATAGATAGAGAGAAAAAAAATCCTTTACTTCTAAAACATCATCTAGTTAATTATATATTTATAATTAATAACAATAAAATTTAACAACGTAACGTCTTTTGAACGAATTTTATTGTTATTAATTATAAATATATAATTAACTAGATGATGTTTTAGAAGTAAAGGATTTTTTTTTCTCTCTATCTATGCTAAATAATAACAATTTACAAATTTTATACAACTATTTTATACAACTATTTATTTTTATATATATATATAGATATAGATTTGTTGTGGCTTCTTTCGCAAATCCCTCAAAACCTATTTGTACTCCCAATATATTTTACATTTAAGTTTTTTTTTTGTTTTTAATCTTAATTTTTGATGTGAAATTTGAAAAATATTTATCAGTCTGAATAGAATATGGTTAGTAGAAAAGAAGTGGTTTATTTTCCCTTCAAAATTTATTGCTATCAGGTACATGGTCAGGTCTCTACATGTGCCATAGATATATAAATAAATTTGTAGTCTGCTTTTTTGCAGCCGCTGGCGCCCGAATTATGAGTGCATGTAGAGATCTGAATATACCGGTAGTTTTTTTAAAAAGGTAACAGCAACGAAAAACACTTAAAATCTCACGACTTTATTACCTCCAAGCAGAATAACCTGTTGTATCTTATGTCTCAGGAAAGCGGGACGGCTTACCATCCCTGAAACCCAGACGAATGATGACTTCTTTTTGGTTATTTAACTTTACCATCGCTGAATGATGAACTGGCACACTGGCGCTAACTACCCATCATGATTATCATGTCCCACACATCACCGAGAAACACAACCGATCAGCGACTTCTTGCAGATTGTCTTTAAGCACCAGCGACGACAAAACATAGCCAATCAGCTACTTCTTGAAGGCTATCTTCTATTTATTATTGATGAAACAAGTCTGAGCAGCTGTGTCTTTCAGGCCGTCTTTCATTACCAATGCCAAAAGACATCAGATCAGCTTCTTTTGTAGCATATTCTTTGGTACCTTTGCTAAACGTGTCCAATAATCTGCTTCCTGTAGGTTGTGCTCCCTCACCATCGCTGTAAGTGTTCGATCATCTGCTTCTTCTATGTTGTCCTCCTTTACCATCACTGCACGTGCTCGATCATCTGCTTCATGTAGGTTTTTGTCATTTACTATTGCTGCAAGTGTTTGTCATCTGCTTCTTCTGAGTTGTTGTAATTTACCATCACTGTAAATGTTCTGTAAGTGTTTGATCATCTGCTTCTTCTAGGTTGTTGTCATTTACCATCGCTGTACGTATCCGTTTATCTGCTTCTTGTAGATGGTTTACCATCGCTTCACGTGTTGATGATCTATGTCATTTACCTCCTTCGCTGTACTGTGTTTGATCATCTGTTTCATGTAGGTTGTCCTCTCTCGCCATCGCTAAGCATATATTTGCAGATTATTTTTCGTTACCATTCGTCAAAAACAGACTAATAGCTGTTGGCCATTCAACTTCACCATTGCTGAGCCCATTTAATCAGGGGGCTCATGTAAGTCGTCTTAATCATTCTCGCCAAAACAAGGATGGTAAGCTGCTTCCCTATCTAAAATAATACAAACAAATTAGCCCTATTTCAATAAAAATAATTCCTACTAGGGGGGGGCCCTTACTGAAATGATAAAATTAATGAGAAGGCCTGGGACTAATCCATTGTAAATCTGTGGTAAACCCGCTTAACTGTTTGGCCATTTTAACCTCCCAGACCCTAAGTTACTGTTCTAAAGCTCAAGTCCAAAATTCCTTGAAAACATTTTCTGAGAAGTCTTTCAAATTTTGAAGAGGCTATTTAGGCAGCAAACCAAACTAATACAATAGTAGATAGGTGGAAGAAATGGCTGGGAGAGTTCAACACCTGATGACAAGGTCCCCCCAATATTTTTTATCTTATATATATATATATATTTAGTAATTTACCTTTTTTTGATTGTTGATTGTTGTTCCTATGTAAGATCCTGTTGACTTACTGTAGGATTGGTGACTTGTGGTGGTTGATGATATCTGGCGCAGTCGTATTTGAATGGTAGGGTTCCACAGGGGAAATAACGAGAGGAAAACCAGGATGGGATTGAATCTAAGACTTCGCGAATAAGGGAGAAAGTTTAAGACTAAATGGAGTACTTTCCTATCACATGATCGGAGAAAATGTTACCTTGGTGAGAGGGAACTGGACACCTCTTGCTCCTAGTCGGGTCCCCTTCCTCCTGACTAACTTTGCGTCTGAGATCTTCCTCGTTTACTCTCTATGCCTCTCATTGGTTGAGATCGTCTACGTGGTTACTTTTGGTTGGCTGTTAGTTGTTCATGCTGAACTTTGATTGGATGTTGGTACCTCCATTGTCTTTTCATGGTTACCATCCTCCAGGAAGAAGAAGGTCTTTGAACTTAGTTTTATGGTTCCTGGGTAGTGACCTTTACTTCCTGAATGATGCAATCCTGGTAATTGCTGTTCTCTCTTTTTCGCGAGGCCTAACTTTTATTAAAACTTTTTGGACGATACATTGCATAGATTGTGCTGGGATTACATCTTGGTATATACAAATTATGACATATATATACTAGCCGAATGACCCGGGCAACGCCCAGGTTTTACCCGATTAAATGCTTTTATTCAAATACTATTCGTTACAATTATAAATTGGCGCCGTGGATGTCATTCTTGTGAAACGTCCCGTTCCAAACTTTGTGTCTGAGAAGCGATATTTTTTTAAAGAGATGATCTGGTTTTGTGTCTTCTGCTCGAATGAATGTTTCTCTGTTAGAATTTTGTTCCTGCATATTAAAAATGAACTGGCTTCACCTGTGGTCTCTGCTTTTTGGAATTTTTCCGGATATAATTTTGTATCTGATAATCAAATATGATACTGCAATATTGTCATAATCATTTTCTGATTAAAAAAAAACAAATATTTTTGCCCAGAACCTATCAATTTCAATTTTTCTTGGCTAAAAATGCGACAAATATCTCTTCCATATTTCTTTCTATGTCCTGTTAAAACACGTTTTACATGTACATTAGGTCAGCTGATATTACCTCCCATCTTCACCCCTAGAGGCGCTGCTTGCGAGCGAAAGAGCAAATTTGCAACTCAAATTTGCAAATAACTCGAAGAATATTCGGGATAGAGACCTGAAATATTCAATATAAGTTTTTCCTGATGCAACTATACATACTGCTAAAATTTCAGTCATATTAGTTACGTATTTTACGTATATTACGTAAAAGCTTTCCATTCATAAAAGCAAACAATGACAGAATTGATGACTCTGATACTTGTATATTTTAATAATAATGATATAAATAAGTTTTAAAAATTGTAAAAAAAAAAATGCATCGGCCGGGAATCGAACCCGGGCCGCTCGCGTGGCAGGCGAGTATTCTCGCCACTGAACCACCGATGCTTATAAGAAATGGCCATATTTGGGTATTTATTCCATTCACAAAAGAAAACGTTGACAGAATTGATTGATTGTTGATTATGACTGATACTTGTATATTTTAATAATCCAAATTGTGCCTTATCATTGGATTTGGTCTTATTACCTTGTGTTTATAATCTATTATCCAAATTGTACCTTATCATTGGATTTGATATTATTACCTTGTGTTTATAATCTACTAGCCGAATGACCCATGACCCGGGCAACGCCCGGGGTTTACCCTATTAAATGCTTTTATTAAAATACTATTCGTTACAATTATAAATTGGCGCCGTGGATGTCATTCTTGTATAATATATAAATGAGTTTTAAAATTGTAAAAAAAAAATGCATCGGCCGGGAATTGAACCCGGGGCGCTCGCGTGGCAGGCGAGCATTCTACCACTGAACCAAAAGCAAACGGTGACAGAATTAAGAACGCATGACGCTGATAACTGTATATATTGTAAAAAAAAAAATGCATCGGCCGGGAATCGAACCCGGGGCGCCCGCGTGGCAGGCGAGCATTCTACCACTGAACCAAAAGCAAACGGTGACAGAATTAAGAACGCATGACGCTGATAACTGTATATAGAATAATCCAATTTGTACCTTATCATTGGATTTAGACTTATTACCTTGTGTTTATAATCTATAATCCAAATTGTGCCTTATCATTGGATTTGGTCTTATTACCTTGTTAGAAATAGGAGATCATATATCGCCGCAACTCTTTTTTATTACCTTGTGTTTATAATCTTCAATCCAAATTGTACCTTATTATTGTATTTGGTCTTATTACCTTGTGTTTATAATCTATAATCCAAATTGTGCCTTATCATTGGATTTGGTCTTATTACCTTGTGTTTATAATCTATAATCCAAATTATTCCATTCACAAAAGCAAACGGTGACAGAATTGTTGATTGATTGTTGATTGATGACTCTGATACTTGTATATTTTAATAATATAAATGAGTTTTAAAAATTGTAAAAAAAAAAAAAAAAAAATGCGTCGGCCGGGAATCGAACCTGAAGCGTGGCAGGCGAGCATTCTACCACTGAACCACCGATGCTTATAAAAAATGGCCATATTTGGGTATTTATTCCATTCACAAAAGCAAACGGTGACAGAATTGATTGATTGTTGATTATGACTCTGAAACTTGTATATTTTAATATTTTAATGTGAAAAAATGAAAGATAAAAAGATCAGGTGTTGAAATCAAAAATAAAAATGGCATATCCTGACCAGGAGCACATGTGCTTTACAGAAGGCAGAACGCAATCTGGTGGAACAGAAATCAACTAATCATTGAATTAGCCTGTTCCCTGATATTTGGCCAACCCAATTTATTGATAAATCAAGAAAAAGCCATCCACGAACGCGTTTCGCGCTTTTTGGCGCTCGTCAGCGTGGAGTAGGCTGTACCACTGCGACCAAAAATATTTTTTGGTCCCAGAGGCTTCTTTTTTCAAGAAATGGGTATTTAAGGCCAAACTTGCATAAATAAGCTTTACACATGAAAATGAAAGAAAAAATAAAAGATAAAAATATCAGGTGTTGAAATCAAAAATAAAAATGTCATATTATAATGGCATTCGTGGATGGCTTTTCTTGATTTATAAAAAAATTGGGTTGGCCAAATATCAGGGAACAGGCTAAATCAATGATTAGTTGATTTCTGTTCCACCAGATGGCGTTCTGCCTTCTGTAAAGCACATGTTTCTCCTGGTCAGGATATGCCATTTTTATTTTTGATTTCAACACCTGACCTTTTTATCTTTTATTTTTTCTTTCATTTTCCATGTGTTAAGCGTATTTGCGCAAGTTTGGCCTTAAATACCCATTTCTTGTTTTTTCAAGGAGCCTCTGGGACCAAAAAATATCTTTGGTCGCAGTGGTACAGCCTACTCCACGCTGACGAGCGCCAAAAAGCGCGAAACGTGTTAGTGTATGGCTTTTTTGATTTATCAAGAAATTGGGTTGGCCAAATATCAGGGAACAGGCTAAATCAATGATTAGTTGATTTCTGTTTCACCAGATGGCGTTCTGCCTTCTGTAAAGCACATGTGCTCCTGGTCAGGATAGGCCATTTTTATTTTTGATATATATTTATCTTATTGTTCTTTATTTTTTTAAAATTAATTTCTCGTATAATATGTTTATAACTGCTTCAGTTTAAAAATGTAAATCGACGCAAATATGCCTTGCTGGGATATCGCGTTTTGTGTGTTAAAATAAAATAATAAAAAAAGGATAGTTGTTTTTGTGATTTGAGAAAATGATTGTCAAGAAAAAAAAAAAACGACTATATAAAAAATATTTTTTTTTACATGATTTAATTCCATTTCATTAATTTCATTTTAATACTTTAAAATAATTCATGCTCTTATTCGTAATTTTCACTCACACTTACATGAATTCTGTGATTAATAAAATCATAAAAGAGTTTTGTTTGTATTTACGTTTGGTCACGTTTGACATCAAGGTTTGATTTTTCTTTCCCTTTATTATTGTTGCGGATAATTTTTAAGAAAAAAATTACAAATGAAAAAAATGCATATTGTAATTTGAGAGAGGGTACAGATTTAAAAATATATATAAATTTTTAATCTCTTGGTTTATATAAAGGTAAAGTGTAATTTATTTATATATATTTAAAAAAAAACTAATTTACTTTTAAAAATGCTTTTAGTTTATAATGGTTTTTATCTTACTGTTTCATGAGTTTTTTTTTGCATAAACTGTATAAAATAATAAAAGACTTGTAATGTTGATGTCCTGATGCTCTCAAGTTAGACTGATCAAACGATCATACTTATATAAAACCATGTTAAAATTCCATTCTTTTGAAAAATTTGAAGAAATAAATATTATGCTTGTCCATGGTTAATTCATTTTTGACTATTTAAAATGTATGGCCTAAATTTTTACTTTCATGTTTTGACAGGTAATACAAAAAAAAAAAATCCCTTTCAAATAACATGAAAATTAGGGTCAATGATAAAAATACACATTAAGTTAATTTATAATGGTAAAATAATTAGGCTACTACAAGTGAAATAATTCCTTTATTGTATAATTAAAACATCACTAACAAAAATATTGGCAACTTCATGTAGACAATTGACAATTAAAATAATTTTATTGACATCTTGTCAATACATGCAAAAGTGCACAGTCTGTACTATTTAAAAAAAGATAATTACATACACATGCATGATACTATGTACAATGAATATGGTGCCTCTGCCACCGCTGCAGTGTTTCATGGTTAGAACTTTGTTGAGTTCAAAAGTTATCAAATTCAGATGTTTAATTGTACTTTATTTTATTGATTACTGAATCCTCTGCAAGAAATTCAAATTCCTTTTTTTCTTTATAAACCTATTTTATAATAACGAGTTTACAAAGTGGGAAGAGGAGCTTCTTTTTATTGGCATGCACACAAGCTTTCGGACATATCGTCCTTCATCAGGTAAGAGTAATAAACGCGCTGAGGATCCATATATACACAAAGCTGAAAAGAAAATTTACATAATTGCAAAAGATAAAAGTATTTAAAGATAAAAATAAGAACAAATATGCTAAAAATATTATAGGGATTAAATGCTAATAAATCTGGACTAAGTACATATGCACTATGAATGGTGTTAATCAAGGGCAGGTAAATGCAACTTATGGCTATTCACATAACATATGGTATTGTTCCGGTATATCTATATGCCTGTTGATGCTGTTTGTTTTTATTGACACAAATGCCTCTAGTAAAAGTCTCTGGTACTTATTATTGATATTGTTGTATAGAATGGATGGCTTTGTTAAATTAAATGTATGACCGGTTTGCATAGAATGACTGTAAATAGGGGAATTTAGGTTTTTATTAGAGATGTTTCTGGAATGCTCAACCATTCTGATGGCGACGGATCTACCCGTCTCCCCGACATAAGTGGCATTGCATTGGTCGCAAGAGACGGAATAGACAGCACCACCAGAACGGAGAGCACTCGCATGAAGGGAAGATCTGGTAATGGGGTGTCGGATTAGTGTGGCGATGTTAGGTGGGTTCTGGAAGTATGTTGTAATGCCATGTTGCCTTAAAAACCTGGCTATGGTGATAGACTGGGGGCAAAAAGGAAGGGAGCAAATATTTCTGTGTATAGCTGGAGCACTGTTGTGGTGAGGGTCATGCATGTGTTTAAGAATGAAGGGGATCGGGTAGCCGGATTTGGATAAATATGAAAATATTTTAGCCTTTTCTATTGTTTGGAATAACGGGAGGGAACAATGAGTAAAGATACGTTTAGTGAGAGCTCTAACTGTATTGATTTTGTGTGGTGTTGGGCAATGTGACCGGAAGTTTGTGTGGTGTGGGGGTGTGTTGTTTTTATAGTATACTGTGGTATGGAAACTGCTGGGGGTGCGTATGACTAGTGTATCTAGGAAAGGTAGGACTGAGTGATTTTCTGTTTCATGGGTGAAGGCTATGTCTGGGTGGAAGGAGTTGAGGTCAGATAGGATGTGAGAGGCAGATACCTCACTTACCAAGCAAAAGGTATCATCGATGTACCGCCTCCATAGAAAGATGTCTGAAGAATGGCGTGAAGTGATCCATTGGTCCAGTGACCTCATGACAACCTCAGCCACCACGGTTGAGAGGGGACTACCCATGGGGGAGCCCTTGGTCTGCTTGAAAAACTGGGTATCAAATGTGAAGGTGGACATGCCTAGGCATATGGAAGTGAGCTCGACAACCGTCTCCGCGGTGAGGGTGTCTAACAGGGGGGCATTTTCGAGGAAAGTGCGTAAACTATTAATGATCAAGGGGTGGGCAAGTGAGAGATATAGAGACGTTACATCGAAAGAAACCATTATGGACCTGGGGGGAGGTGTGAGGCTGGTGATATAGGACACAAACGAGGGGGAGTTTGCAATGGTATATTCCCATGGGGGAGACTGTAGAAGGGGGGTCAAGAAGTTGGACAAAAATTTTGACAGGGTATATGCCGGAGAGAGATGGTAAGATATGATTGGTCGGAGGGGAACATCGGGCTTGTGAATTTTTGGAAGGCCGTAAATGTAGGCTATTTGGGCGAGGTTAGCTGTGAAGTCGTTATATTGCTCTTTAGTGATCTGCTGGGACCTTTTTAATCTTAACAATAGTAAACGGAAATTCTTAACGGATGCTTTATGTTCCTGTTCAGTGATGGCAGAAAAAATGGAGTGTTGGTCGAGAACGTTTTGCATTTTTTGCTTGTAAACGGTAGTGTTGAGAATTACGGTCTGTGAGCCTTTGTCGGATTTTGTTATAACTATGTCTCTATTGCGTTTAAGACGGGAGATAACCCTATTCATGGCTAGGGACGGTTTAGGGATATTGTAGGGTCGTTGAAGGGTGGAGGTGACAAAATGCCTAATCTTATGGGTGTCTTGGTGGTTAAGGCCTCTGAGAGCGGGTTCCACACCAGCTATGATGCGAGGAATATCAGAAGGCCCAGGCAGTCTGTATTTTAGGCCCAATGACAGAATCTCAGCATCAGCAGATGGCAAGACATAGTCCGAGAGGTTGACCACTCCTTGGGGTGACTGGGGAAGATAGGCTTCTAGTAGATAGGCAGGGAAGTTGTACTTCTTGATCCAGTGATGAAGCTTGGAGTTGTGACGTTGCGTTATATCGTTCCTCTGGTGCCGAATGTCCCTTGTGATGGATTGCAACAGATCGGCCATTTCTGGATTGGTTAGTAGCTGAGAGACCAGAAAGATCAATCCCTTGACAGACTTAGAAATAAATCGGATATTGGAATGGCAACCTTTGATTCTAGACGATAACAGATGGAGTTGGGCGCGGCGTATGACGACGGATGAAAATGGATTGCGAACAGGATCCCTGATTCGAAGGGATGGAGGTATAAAATCAGCCGTTTCACACAGTTTATTAAAGTTCAAATGGAGGCGCCATCTTGACAACTGTAACGATTTCTTTCGTAACTGATAGGTATAACGAGGTAGGTCTTCAGCGGAAGGATTCATGATGAATTCCAGGATAAAAAGCGTAAAAATAAGCGAATTAAG